GAAAAATAATAAAAAATAAATGATGCCAAATATAGGCCACACAGCAAATGTGCAGCAAAGCACATCACATCGGTATCCTAGAGAGGGATGAAATTAAATATAGCATAAGCAAACAATTTATATAAAAGACAAAATAGCTCACCCTCCTTAAAAGCAGACTGAGCTTGTTTCAGATTTTGTGGCACAAGGATTCCAAACCACTTCAAAGGATCCCTGTGCTCTGGTGTGGATAATTCTGCCTTTGTTTTTACTTGAGGGTCTGTCTCCTGTTCCTTGTCTTTAACCCCCTTTTGTTTGGTATTTATACGCCTTCTAAGACCTGAAATTTTCAATAATGTTGTCATGAACAGAAAATCCTACGATTAGTTTAGGCTCCTACATGTATAATATTAGATAAGCAACGCCGTGGAAATACATACCCGTCTCTTTCGCTCCAATGTCTTCTATTGTGGTGTTTTTCAGTTCTTCTGTTTTATTCTCTTTCCTCTCACATTTGAACTCAGCTGTTCCACCTTCCAACACACTGTTATTAAGGCAAGCACACGGATCGGTGTAAATGACTGAGTCTTATGCACAAGCAAATGTTATTTAATTGCATGTAATGATACGGACCTGGTTTCAACATAAACAAGCGGCTCCATCTCGCTAGCGTACTGCAGAGCAGAGACTTGCTTATTTCCCATTGAATAACGTGCTTTGGCAATTGAAAACCATCCCTGTGTTAAAAGAATTAATAGAATTATATTCAGAATACAAATGAAAATGTATTCGTGTACAAAACGTATTTATGAAGAAGCTGGATTCTATTCCCAGTATTAATATGTGCTCAGTCTAATCAAGTGTAATTGCACGTTTTACCTCCTCTATAAGGGACTTAAGTTTATGTCGTTTCTCCTCCAAAGCCTCGAGCTGGTCCATGAAAAGCAGCAACTGCTCGTCCAAACGAAGCTGTTGATCAACACGCATTTCTGTCGTTTTATCTGGCTAAACAGAACCGAACAATAATAAACAGTAATAAACTAAATGAAGAATGAAAAGATAAGTATTCCTGTAGAACGCTTTCCGAGTGATTACAAGAACCTTTACCGGTCACGTGACAAGAAGTCACATGCCATCGCTGTTGGGTGGAGATTGCGTAGTTTAGATTGCCTGGTTTCTCCCAAGGTTTTTTCTCCATTCTGTCACCGATGGAGTTTTGGTTCCTTGCCGCTGTCGTGACATGAAGTCACATGACTTCACTCAGCTCTGTTACGTAGAGATTGCGTAGTTTAGTATGAATTCTGTGAATACTTTATATTTTACAGGATTTATGTTGCATGCTTATTTAAGCACACATATAACGTAAAAAAAAAAAATCCTTAAAAAATATGAGTAATAACAAATATTCACCCAGTGTGTTTTGTGTAATCTGAACTCGCTTGCATATGCTTTATTTGTGGCTTTTTAAAGAAAAAGAAAAAAACGCGTTACTTATATCGTGCATACATAATTCGTATAATTACCAAATTCACGCTAAAAAGAAAACGTTTACTTCCCATACCGGGAGTCGAACCCGGGCCGCCTGGGTGAAAACCAGGAATCCTAACCGCTAGACCATATGGGAGATATACACTAAAGCAAGAGCAAACCCTTTTAACCTAGCATATGTACAGAAACGTTTAAACAAAATTCAAACTCCATATAGTGTCAGTCATTCCTATTAGTGCTTGAAATATCGTAACCAGCACTGCACATGTCAATTATTAACGATGAATGGCAGAGGTTCACTTTATTTTCACTAGCCGCCATAAAGAAGCAAACATGCTGCGTTGTGTATGATCGTAAATCATCTAGTACTCAAGTGACTCGCATACTATGAAAAGTAGTATGCGTGCGTGTCAGCACAATAAAACTGAGAAAATACTATAACTATACTATAAAATACTATAAAACTATTGCATTTAAAAACATGTACAAGTATTAAAGCCCAATTCCACCAACAACCTTCACTGCCTCCAGTAGCTCGCCGTGATCGTATAGTGGTTAGTACTCTGCGTTGTGGCCGCAGCAACCCCGGTTCGAATCCGGGTCACGGCAGGGATGAGTCCCTATCACGGCTTAGGAGTGTGCATTTTTGTTTTAACTTGGACGCTTCAGTTTATTTTATGCATCACTTCATTTACCAACGCTAAACGCGATTTACCAGACAAAACGTATTAATTTACAAAATGCGTCATGTTTTTCACCAGCATATACACGCTTCGCAATCACATGTGACGACATGCATGTTCCGAGGAGATCATCCAACTGTAAGCCGAGTACATTTCACGATGGGTTGTTCTTCCCACAAACCCTATTGGTGATTGGGCAGTGTGAATCACGTGGGCTTATAGTAGGATGTGACTCGGTGGCGCGATGTTTCTGCAATTTGATAATGTAGTTTCAAAGAGCAGATTTTAGCACTTCATTGCCGCGCTCTCCACCTCCAAGAAGACAGTTATATGCAACATAAGAGCAACGCGGGAAATAATCACATTTCTAGGATATTTCACAACTCATCACAGAGTAAGTAAAGACGTATAAAGTCATTTCCATGTAGTGTTATTTCCACGTTATCTAGTGCAAGATAAAAGATCTGTAACTCCAGATTAAAAGTTATTCTAATGCTACTATGTATACATTTTGTCTCACGAATATCTTTCATCCATGTTTACAGATGATGAAGGAAGCAGACACTATAAATCATCCCTATTGGCCACGCAACCTGTCCATTCCCAACTATGTGGCTAATGACCGTTCAATGTCAGAGATTCTCATATTCCTGTTCTCTGTGTCCGGGATACTGCTGCTCGCCACCTGGTCACTGACTGGCCGTAAGGTGTCTGGAAGAAGCCTTAGTGGAGGGAGGAGGTTAACTCTGTGCTGGTTCACTGTGTGTGGCTTCATCCATGGGGTCATTGAGGGATGGTTCTCTTTATACTACACCATCATTCCCGAAGACCAGAGTTTCCTTTCTCAACTGTGTGAGTGAGGCTCAAAGTCTATTTGACTATAATAGTTTGAAAATATTCCGTTAATGTCCCTTGAGTACCAAAAATGCTTGTTTTCCTCTACAGGGAAAGAATATTCCAAAGGAGACAGCAGATATGCAATGTAAG